CCTGACTACCAATACTGGAACTCTTCCTTCTCTCCCTTCTTTAAGTACTACTGATATTCTAACACTCAATCATAGCCTGGTTCAGCACAGACTTTGCACAGACTTTGCACAGACTTTGCACATACAGTTGAATTCTAGATTTTCGGATTTTTTTTGAACGGAGTCTGTACTCGTGATGTCCTAATATTTGTGAACACGACTGGGCTTGTATTAGAGCTTGCATTAGTGTATGTAAGGGGGTGTTTGAGTAGTAACCAATCAGAAGTGGACAAGTTGTAGAATCCTAAATCAATCAATATAGAAATACAAACTATGTCTATTGTGATTCATGTAGATCAAACCTTTAAGGTCTCGAGATCCAATCACCAAAATGTCAACTCCTAGAGGAACAACAACTTTATGGGTTACACCATATTCGATAGACCTCAGAAGATGACACTGAGGCAGATTTCAGAGAGAACTGGGATTTTAACTAGTACCTGCTCGAATATCATCAACTCAGCAAGATAGTGAGTGAGCGAAAATGAGATATCCGATCTCTGTGCACCTGAAAACCTCATGACATCACCAAACTCTTTAAAGCGTATAAATAAAGCTCTCACACTAAGAGAGAACGAGCATCTAGTTGAAACTGCGTTGAAGGATACAGAGCACTGTCAGATGACTTTTGCTCAGCTTGCTGACGCTGGTAAAACTTGTTCCCTTCCTTTTTTCTCTTTTTTTTTTTTTTTTTTGAAAACACTTATATACATATCAATGATTAAAAAATTAAGTTTGGGAGCGGATTTAGATATTAAGCGACGAACAGTTATCTAAAGGGCTTAAAGAAAATATGATTTTTTACTTGAAGGCCTACCATAAAAGCCAGTTTAAAACCCCAGTGTAAAAGGCTACCAGATTGGCATTTTGCTATCAGCATTATGATCATAATTGGCATGATACAATATTCACAGATGAGTCTTATTTTGAGACAGGTAGTTTCTGATCTTGGCAAGCCCATGGTATTCTATGACATGCCAAGGAAGCTTATCACCTATAAAATATTCAGAGAAAGCTCCTGCAAGGTACTAGCATTATATTTTGAGGTGCTATTTTGTACAATAAAGATGGTAGAGTCAACTGATTTCATTTATTTATTGAAAAAAAAAATTTTCAATGTACATTAAAACTAATTAAATACATTTGAAATTAGGAAGTAATTTGCCTTATCATATGTACACTTCATTATATGAAAATGCAAGACAAGAAAAAGAGGATTTACTTCTACTTCAGAGAGAATATGAGTATAAGCTAGCAGAAAATGCTAGACCTCAGGCACTTGGTTTGGAAATTCTATTTCCAGATCCCTAATTGAAAGTATGTAAAAAAGATAGAAGAGGTGGAATAGATTGGTTTATCTATCGGCAAAGAATTTTAATACCTTTACTTTACCAATTTACAGCATAGTCTAAACTTGAATTTCCTGACTAGGATATCATTATACTGAAGGATCATGCTCCCGCACATCTCTACCATTATCATAATATCCCGCATAAACAATTGGGCTATCAAAAGCTCATTTGGCTAGCCAACTCACCGGACTTAAATCCTATTGAAACCATCTGGAGTGAGTTAAAAGATAAGCTTCATGAGCTTATTGGCCCCCGAATGACTGCACAAGAAATCCCTATAGTTCTTAAACAGGTAAGTGAGACTTTTATTTATTTTCTTCAATATTTTAATATTTACTTTATCTAATCTAAAAATAATATAAAGGAGTGGAAAAACTATCCCCGCACTTGAATAAATCGTCATATAAATTCGATGTCTGACCGGATTGAAGCTTGTATTGCAGATGAAGGGGCAACAATTTCAATTTCTAGTTTAGTTTTATTTTTTTCTCTTCCTCTTTTTGTATTCTTCAAATTGTGATTCTCAAATAAACAATAACCTGTTTTGTGCGCCTACATATATATATCTAGAGTATCAAACCCTTAATACTAGTACTCTGACTAAGCCTGATGGCACAAATGCATGCTTAGGCACACCAATGTAAGCCCAGTCGTCTTCACAAACATCAGGACATCGCGAGTATGCAGAACTTCTAGTTTTAAGATAATAATCATAGTTCAATTTACCAGAAATATAATTCTTTGATGCTTATTTTTTTTCTTTTTTTTTTTTTTTTTTTCTATTGGTTTCCTTGTTCTTGTCTTCTTAATTTCTTCAGACTCTAGATTCTTGGAGAAATAAAGATATTTTATTTTAGTATTAATCAAATCTATGGAATAACTTTTATTCCCTTTTGCATATTTAAACAAATTAGGTATGATACTGTAGTTAAGTACAGTCACTCCCAGAAGTGTTCGTGATCTGAAACAATTTTTAATTGCGGTTGCACCATATGGTGGAGTGGGGCAGTGCCGGTAGGGTTGTCAATGGGTATACGCGCGCACGAGTTCAAGTTCACGATTAACAACCACTGGTACCTCTCAATATTCAATGGTCAATTGACCTGCCATAAATTAAACTAGCTAATATTTTGTATAATCTCTCCTTGCTTCTAAAACCGCAGCCACCCCATTAGGCATTGATTTCTACAACTTCTCAAAAAACTCCTCAGGAATTGTCTCTCAAACCAATAGTAATACATGTACAAGTCTTCTCCTAGCAGCCTCTTTTCCTCCTGGAGTATCTGCAATCCTTGGATACTGCTGGTGTAATTGCTTTTTAAGCTCAACCCATACATACTCAATAGGATTTAAATCAGGGGAATAAGGGGGGTGGTCCACAACCTCAATACTGTTTCTCTCCAACCAATCCATAACACTATATGCCTTGTAAACAGGAGTATTATCTTGCTGAAAAAGAACATCTTCAAGTTGTATACCAAAGAAAATCATTTGATAAATAACAGGAAAAAGATATCTTCTCAAAAGTCTAATTTACCTAGTCTTATTGATAGTTTGAGTAATAGGAACTAATGGACCTTTTCTTTTGCCCCAAAAGCACCCCCAAACAATAAGCAAGATTCCCTTATCCTTCTTCTTTGGATGTACACAATCAGCCAACTACTTCTCTGCAGGTTCTCTGAATACCCATTGTTGCTTTAGATCCTTGGATTTCTCCACACTGCACTTATCACTCCAAATCATCCTTTCAAAATCCTCAGCTGTCCAGTCCCTATGAGCTGTAGCCCATCTCAATCTCTTAGCCACATGATCAGGCTTTAGCCTAGGTCTTGACTTGACTATCCATTTTTTAATGTTTGCTTCTCTGAGTACCCAGTCCACTATGCAGGCACATTTAGTAGGTAATTATATCAAGTTACTCTGGTTAGCTGCCACAAACGTGGCTTAGCGAGGAAAGGGTTTTCACGTGACACATGGTTATGAGTCACAGGTATGTTATTGTTTCACGCATATGACCGATTCGGGTTATATGATTAGTTATGTGTGGGATTTGTGATGCTTTCGCACATGGCTTAAGTATGAGTCATGGGACATGCGCCTGACAAGTATGCCTTACGAGTGTGCATTACGGGTAAGCCTTGAGCATATGATTTATGTTTCGCACATGACCTCATTATGATGTCATGGGTTTCGTGCATATGACTCAGTCAAGTCATATGACTTGGTTATTGCGTTATGATTGGTTTATGAGTTTCGCACATGACCTCCCTATGAGGTCATGGGCTTTGAGCATGTGATCACTTTGGTCATATGACTAGTTTGTTATGATTTAGTTTCGCACATGTGACCACTTTAGGTCACATGACTAAAGGCGGGAAGAACACTATATAAGGAAGCCGATACGGCCGAGGAAGATAGGTTCTTCACGCTTTGTTCTAAGTACTTTTCCTACTTATTACTTTAACAAATATAAAATAGCTTTACAATCTTTATCTTTATTGCAACGTTATCATTACGCCAAGGAAGGTGCTTTACGAAGAAGAGTTAGAGAAAGCTTACGATAGGTGGTCTCGGTAGAAGACAAGGGTCTTGTACTATCAGTAACGTGGGCAGAGGCCTAGAGCTATCATAAGACAAAGGAACAAGAAGACAGGAAGAGAAGTATCGTTCCCTGTCGCCAAGCACTAACTATCCAAAGAGGGATCGTTACAGTAGCACAAAGAGTTACCAGTATCAAGAGAAACACCGAGTGCATAGCAATCCCTGAAGGCGCATCTGGTCATTTTCCAGTTGGACTTGGCTGCCTGTATAATTGTGCGACACTGTTGACCACTCAAAATGGGGGTGCAACCGGGGTGAGAGAGATTTTCAAGAGATTGGCATTCACATGCCCGGACAAGAAAGCTCTTAACTGTTGTCCATAGGCGTCTAATAATTTGAGCCACCAAGGCAATGTTCCGGAGGCAGTAGAAAAAGGCGATTATCATGCCCTTCTCTGCAAGGCTCATTTCTCTCTGGGCGGTTTTAGGTGGAAGTCTTTTTTTTACGGCATACTTTGTATTTCCAAAATGCTTAACCATTGGTAAAAAAGGTAGAGGAAATTAATAAATTAATTAATTAGGTAAAGGAGGCTTCAGTGGGTGTAGATTTGTGAATGGTCATGGTCGCAATGGGGTGAACAGTCACGATCAACTTTATATTTCATTGAAAGGTGGCATTTTGGCAAGACAGCTTAGTCATCTGAGACCGGTTTCACAAACACTTCTGCCGAGTGACTGTACTTCCTATATTGATCTGAGCCAATTGTATTATTTTTTAAGATGCTTGTAGAATCAAGACCTACTTAGCAGTAGTAGTTTCAATAGGGGTGCTCTCAAACGTTGCGGCGTCTCTCAAGTGACGGGAATCTTGGCACGGTTACCAGTGTACTCGTATGACTGTGCCAAAACTCAAGCCCTAACCTACCATAGTTTTGTGTTCCCAAGCTTGGCAAGCGGAAAAGGAGAAAATCAATCCCGTAACTTAAGTTAAATCATGAAATTAAGTTCCCATCTACCGGTACTAGTGCTTGAATCTACCCACACCTAGAGCGCAAGAACTTCTCCCTCCCCCCGTGCCTCAACCTTCGCCTTCGCCTTTCCCCCTTCTCCCTCCCCCACCGCACTAGCGACTTCAAAAACTACCACCACATACACCCAGCCAATTACCGCCGACATGCGCGTAATAGCATACCTACTCGTGCTCCTGCCAATCCTCTACTACTCGATTGACACCATTCTCCCTCGCTTCTTCATTTTCGACCCCGTTCGGCTGCAACAGCTATCGCAGGCTTCTATCGAGAAGTTTCCCGACAATGCCACGCTCTTGATGGAAGATTTGCAGGCTTCGTTGTTGGCGGAGTATGGGGATAAGCATATCAATAGGTTGAGGAAGGATGCGTGGTTTTTTAAGTGAGTTTTTCCTTGGCTTGCTTTGGGTTTGGGTATATGCTGATCTCGCGGGTAGTAATGCTGGTGGTGCTATGGTATGTCTTTGTTTACTTGTTGAAATGATGGAGTTATCTGGCCGCTGTCGCCTAATTCACCTGACGTTGGAAACCTTTGAGAGTTATTAGCCCCAGAAATCCTTCCTCGAAAGGAATTTTTTGGGTCTATAATACCAACCACAACCCCCTGGTGGGTTAATGGTTCCCAGCGAAAATGGTGGTTCGGCGGCAAGATCAAGCGACCCTCTTGCGGGTTGTTTGGGGTGGTGAAGCTTCTCTAGATAGTTCGGAGGCCACCTAGAAGGTTATGTGGTGCTAACAATTTACCGCAGGGCTCAATGATTATCCTCCACGCCTCCGTCACAGAGTACCTCATCCTCTTCGGTACTCCCCTAGGAACGGAAGGCCACTCCGGCGTCCACCTCGCACACGACTATTTTACAATTCTCCATGGCGAGCAGTCTGTCTTCTATCCCGGCGACCTCGAGCCAACTGTGTACAAACCTGGCTCGCAGAACCACCTTCCAAAGGGTCGTGCGGTGCAGTACATTCTTAATGGATGGGCTCTGGAGCTTGCGCAAGGTATGTAAATCGTTCCATTTCAGAAAACCCGCGCCCTTCTCGAAACTGAGCGGTGGGGGCTCTTTCCAAGTGGATGTTGATTAATTAATGAATCAGGTTGGATCCCATCCATGCTTCCGTTCGGCTTCCTGGACACTTTCACTTCGACCTTGGACTTTCACAACCTATGGAACACAGTTTACTGGACTGCGCGTGGGATTGTGGGACAATTGCTTGTCGGAAAATTCTAAACTGTCTATCCACTTTCCTCTCTTCCCCCCCGTCCCAATTACATAGAGATACCCGCAAGAATAATGTAACATTAGCTAGATATCTGTACCATACCCATAGACCATCCGATGCTAATACACTAGCGGCTTAACAATCTTGACATTCTTTCCCCCATCCGCAGATCAAATGGTATTCAACCTCCATAATAATCACCATAGCCCTTCACCTCCACTTACCGGCACCTGCCTGCATGTAACATGCTTGAACATTCCATTCCGAATTTAGTATGGGGCTGAGATACTCACGGATTATTGGCCTTATATTTGTTTAATCCCTGTATTCGGATGCTTGCCTATATGACTGGTATGATACCATACCAGGCCATACGAAAACCAATTCCCCCATTCCGCCCACCCTTCCTACCACCTCCGGAGAATCAAACCCACAACCATACACCCCACTCACATACAATCACTCGTAATGCAAGCAGGATGCATACCGAAACTACCAACTTCCGCCTCCTCACCAGGCATACGGACATCCCACCACACAACGCCGTGACATGCGAGATAGGGTAGGACCGCTTGGTCTGTTGTCCTCCGCGTCGGCAAAAGAGTTTTGGGTACTCATTTCTCTGCCTGAATGGTCCCATCAGTATCCAGGGTGGGGAGCCAGTCCCCCCGGTAGGGTTGTTATCGATCCGATGGGGAGGGGAGTTACAAGATTTAGTTTGCTTCAAGGTAAAATTATCGTGTAATATCACGGGAGGAGAAAAGATGCCCCGTCCGACAAAGCTATAATATAAATCCACTAAAACACGCTGAGAAATAGGGTCCTATGAGGATTACAGTTTTTATTCTTGTCTTTTATCAGCTGTTTAACTAATTTTGATGGGTAGTAGTATACCTATTTCTCCAACGCGATATATTTACCAACTCTTCCCCCGAGTTCTCCAAGTTCTTATCTGGCGCTAAGAGGTTTGAAGCTGGTTCAGGTATATGTACCACACTGCTATTGACCGAAATTTAACATTGACGCACATGTCCCATAATATATTATCGCTTTATATATATATATATAAAGTGAACCTTTCTACTTGCTTTCTATCCGGTAAGTAAAAAAAAAAATATCATAATTTTGTGAAGGAATTGAGTTTCGCACATCTGGAAAGCGGGCAGAGCACGTATATCTATCCATCAAGACCCTTCTCGCTCCTCGTTTTTAAAAACCTTTCCTTTGAGATAATTGGATAAGAATAGGATTGGTATATCAATTGACTAAAGAATCTGATACTCTTTCTGAGGTGAATGTCGAAATTGAGTTGTCCGTTCGGCAATCATTGTCCATCACTCAAGCCAACCAAAGTTAGTCTACATCCGGAGTTGAGATTCCCGTCCGGTAAGCTGTCTGTCTAACACTCGATGTTAAGAATTAATAGTCACCCGAACATGCTGACCTTCTTCCAGGCTTAGTAATTCTATCTTAATAGGGCTAAGGCGGGCTCGATGCTGGTCAGGGTGAATTCATTCGCAATTGTTCATTAACCCTCTCCGCCAAGGAAATTATCAGTGAGACTATGATAATATGTCGAGCATGATATACCTTCCTTGGCTTCAGCGAAAAATTCAACATACATTTAAATCCCAACATCTCCATAAAAATCCCACGATATTCTTATCCTCTCGCCCACTTTGTTATCCAGTAGAGCCATAATTCCCATGAGAGCGGCTGTTGAGAAACTCTCGAGGATCAAAGTTGAGACATTTTTCCCTAACACTGTACTTGTATGTTACCCCTGCTACGGACGTTCCTCACCCTTGGTACTTGTAGGCATGATAAGCAAGCAAGCCTCCTACCGTATCGGGTGTGATCAAAGGAGTGAAAGGGAATAGGAGTAGCAGCTGATAGCACGATTTTAGAGATTAGTGAAGTGGGGGTAGTACTCTAGTACGAGTACTTGGGCCTGTTTACCTGCCCGTCCGCGTCTAAAATTTGTGTCATAAAACCAGACGGCGGTGTCTCGGCAAATGTCACATTGCAACAGCCGGTTTAAGGGCGTTTAATTTGCCTAATTTTCGACCGTCTGAAAATCTTGGTGCTACGGTAGCAGGTCAGAACAAGACGTTGCTCGAAAGGTGCTGTTGGAACCTCCGTCTCGTTGGGTCAACATGAGATCTTTCGCCCTTGACAGCTAGCTATACTATAGTTGATAGCAGCACGAATACGAGAACTTGACGGGGCACTAGATGGTGCATTAGGTAAACACCAAGCCATGTATTTCCCTCTCCAGCTGCTAGACGGCCGTCTTTAGGTAAACGGGCCCTTGGTACAAAGCAGAACATAAAATACAAGAGTCACAAGGCAAGTAGTGAGCATCGGAGATACAGGGTGGAAGCCTCATGTCAAGCAGCTTCAACAACGGTTCAGGTATTGAGCTACGGTAGCGGAAAACAGCTCCAAGACTTGCCCCCCCGGGCCAGATCAGATTCAAGGGAGGTGGACTGGCCGCAACTGCACCAGCTCTCTCGGCCCGATCCATGGAGTGGAGTTTCAGCTCCTTGCCGCTGATGTTGGGAGATGTCAGGAAGAGACATGGGAGCAGAGCACGGGAGGAGTACCATACCAATGGTGGATGGCAAACCGTCTTAAATATTGGGGTTTACCCTTTCATTCGCAAGATATATTTTAATCACTTCAAGCTGGTCGAATCTCCCCGCGAGATGCAAGGTGGTTTCTCCATCCATGTCTGCTAGGTCAGGGTTAGTCCTAACATCTTCCAAGAGCGCATAAGCAATATTCGCGTGACCATTGTCAGCAGAAATGTGGAGAGGAGTGAGCTGGCAGTTGTTGCCGGCATTAACATTGGTCTTGCTGTCGCATAGAAGCTGCTGAGTATACCCTCCCGGTTGTGGTTGGCTGCAATACTGAGAGGGGTATGTATAGTAGATCCGGTTTCGGGCATGAATCTCAATATTCTCACTCTTTAACAACATCTCAACAATGCCGCAATGTCCAGATCTTGCTGCAAGGTGTAATGGCGTTTCACAGGAACCGTCCGGTGCACTAACCTGAGTATCGTCTGCTCCCACTTCCTCGAGCAGGACTTGTACGATAACTTCCTTACCACGCATGGCAACAAGTTCCAGCGGGGTCCGGTTGTCAATGTCCATTGTTCTCGTATTCACACCATATTTGATCAGAACCGAAACCACTTTTACACCCTGCGCGAGAACCGCATCATTCAGGAGAGAAGCATTCCCGTCCAGGTTTAAATGCCCATAGCTAGAAGATCGCCAACCGTGGTGCGCATATTACCCTCAGATGCGGTCCCGGGCATCCTTCCATGCACTACCGTCCGTCCTGTCCACACCCAAAGACGGACGGACTGGACACTTGGAAACATTGGATGTGGATTGATTTCCAGGTATTGGGAGAATTGGCTCGTCCGGGGTAGGGATCGAGGACATTGTAGCAATCGGCATGGCGTGAGGAGATCAAGTTGTGGAAGTTGCGGATTCACCAGAGTAGCAACAATGAAATCCATGAAAGGTTAGTTTCTAATCATTGAACCTCGGGGCCGGTAGGGTATGCTAACGCCTGCTTTTACAAGTATCGGCACAAACTTCTCTATGCTGTCCCAGAAGATACTCACTTGGTAATCGCAGGGAAACCATGATCCCCCCCCCCGTCTAATTCTAAAGCTGACCACGCACGGTGATGAGTGAAGTGATGCAATTGTGTTTATGCGGTGAATAGAGGAATTTGTTGAAACTATCACTGGATATGTGGAATCAGAGAAGAAGTCGTTGATCAATTTTTATATCCGGAGGAAAGAAAAAGCGAGAGAGGAAAGGAAGGAGAAACACAAGTAGCGGAGCCACCAAGCAAACACAGCAGGGCAACTCAAGAGAAACATAATGATATTTTGTGCTGGACGGGCAATCATCTTTTCTAACAGAATTCCTAGTCGGGATGGTGGCGGTGGTGAGAGGAGTGAGTGGTGGTGATGGGTTAGGTGAGCTAGAGAAACATAGCAAACGGGGTGAAGTCACATGATTTTGTTTTTGTCATCCCATGATTGAAATGCAACGAGTAAATTAAGAACCACCCTTAAACTTGATGCACCATTTTTCGCTCGTGCACCCCCCCGGTTGTCGTGTGCACCCCAGCGCAGAACCTCCCTATTAATTAATAATTGACCACTATATCCATCTTATCAGTCCGTAAGCCAGGTAATAAACATGCGACGAACTACAACCACCTACAACAGATACCGTACTGTAGCGCGGTTCGTAGGGTGCCAGTTTGCAAATTATCCGATGCATGATCAGTCACTCGGTATCGATCAGCCGGGTGTAACGTTACGGTATCATACTTGTACTTGTTTACCTTGGCCATTTGTGTGATTGGATGGCGATCGTTGGTGGTGTTGTTGTTCTGTACTCACCCAAGCTTTCTTTGGCGTTGGGATGCAAACAGCTGGCGGAATGGTTACCGTACTTCAAATTACGGTAACTACTACGATTCTCGCACTACACTGGATTCTAGCATGAACTTCTGTGGCGAACTCAGCCCACGAGCGCTCCCTTCCAAGGCGTTTAAGAAACGGAAAACGTTCGCTTAATCCTCACGTAAAAAGGTGTGAGTAGCCGTGCTCAAGGATGCGCTCGATACCGTATGTACCGGGAATGGCGTTCCTGCCCCTTCCTCACAAAAAAATGTGCCCACCCCCTTGTGAAATTGTAGGATAATGTAGGTACGAGTACGAGTTGTGTGCCCTTGCGTCCTTTCATTTCATTATCTTATTTTATTTTATTTCTTTTCATTCTAGAATTCATCATCCCCCTAACGGCGACGACTTACCTTAGGCAACTGGATGGGAGAGAAACAAACCATCACAGCTAGAAATCAATCAAACAAAATAAATAAAAAGGAGGCAAACGAGTAACCCCCGTCGACTTGACCAAGGAAGAGGGAAAAGCTTTCCTTTCTCCGCCGATCATGACCCAACCCACTTTCTCTGGCTGATCAGGTTATGGTGCGTGTATTGAATGACTGATAAATTTGGAGGGGGTAGGCATAAATGAGCCACGTTTCAAACCCCCCCCCCCGATTAAGGGGAACCCGGCTCCTGGGCGGCCCTTTCTTTCGCTCTCTTCTGGTTTCCCACTCTCCCTCCCGCTCGAACCATGGCTGCTTTAGGGTTGTTTGAAAATAGATGGAAAAAATAGAAAGAAGAGAAGGAAGGAAAATCAACTCTTTGATGGTGCAGCATGAGCACTCGTACTTGTACTCGAGCACCGTACAGTGCTTGTCTTCTCTTGATCCGTCGTGGTGTCGTAGGTGTGGTAGTGCAGGTACATGGTTTTAGGGTGAATACTTCTAGAGTTTGACCTTGTTGCGATGGTGGTAAAGTGGTGATTTGCATTGGGGGTAGAAACGCTTGTAAAGGAAAGAGGGAACCATTCTTTTCCCTTACGTTGGGATTCGCTTGCTTGTCCCTTGCAGATTTAATGTGTGCGACGGTTGTGTGTTACTCAAGTAGAGTGCTGTACGAGTACTCGAGTACTAGTACTTGTGCTAGAATATTCGTCCGTGTTGCACCAGGCACTTTTGGGCTGGCCTTCTCGCTTTGTCAGGAAGAGCAAAGAATTGACCTTGTCGGGATACGGGTAATGTGGGAGGGATTGCTCCTGTAAAAAGAAAAAAAAATAAGAATCAAGAATTAATTGGGAAATACCGTACTGTTAAAGAAAGAGGGGGGGGACACTGTGGTGGGTAAAAAAAGGGAAGGGAAGAAGAAGGGTAGAGGGATGGGGGTGATGGGGTTTCGAAACTCCTCCCTGTATTGATTGGTGGTGAGGATTTGTTCCATATCCTGTCCAATAGCCTCTCTTTATGTCCTGAAATTTTGGTTTGCCTAGCTAGCCATAGGATGGGCCCGAAGTGGGTGGGGAAAAGAGCAGAAGCTGGCATACTGTATGTGCATGTGAGGCGAGAAAGGGAGGATCAAGTGAAAATACGTAGTTGGCGCTCCTTACATCCTGCTGTTCTGCCATGAGTGGGTGAGATGGACTTGATGCGATATGATTGACGTGGATGACTGCGCAGTATGCACCAGTAACAACTGTAAGGCCGTTGACATTACCGTTGTTGCGGCGCTGTGCATTAGTGGTGGTGGTGGTGGTGGTGGTGGTTATTTAGCAGTGATCTTCACTGACCTTGATTTGTTGACATCTACTACTCAAGCACTCAAGTATCTCACTCGACTCTTTGATGAAGACGGTCCATCCAGCACGAGTACAGTGCCCGTAAAATATTGTGATGATTCTCCCAATCTCAGTCAGTGGCCTCTCTCTGTGACCCCTTCCTCGTCTTCTTCTCCTTCCCTACGTACTGTACCTTCTCCCCTTTTGCCTCTCTAGCGGGTCGACTTTCTTTGAACTTGCCTGAGCTGATAATGTGAAACACTTGATGGAATACCGATGCTCTAGCGTGGGTGGGGGATACTGAATGTGATAGTAACAGTCTCAGCCCTTGCGGCAAACCTTTCAAATTTCCCAATCTCACCGCACTTGTAGAGTTTGAACCCGACTGAAGATTCCCTCTAGAGTAGAGTAGAGTAGAGTTCGTTCAGATTTGCACAAGTGAGCCCACTGTGATACTTGTGCTGCCGGAACTTGGATGTTAGTTCTTGTTATATTGAATTGTATTCTCTTTTCCTATTCTGTTCTCTTGTTACGGCACTCATTCGATAGGGAGGCCATCCACGGTGGAAGGTCTTACTCTAATGTATGATACCCGTATGTATGTCTCCTTCAACTCTCCCCTTTTGCTACTGACAACATCCTGAATCCCTCACACCCCCCCTCCCTTCCTCACCAACCCCACTGCACGCCCCAATGCCACTCCGTCTCCCTACACACCAGCTGCCCTACTGCCCTCTGCCGTGCTCGGGTACAAACCTTTTCCTTCATGCCCCGTTACTCTACTGGGGTGTTGTCCGCTAGAGTGCTGACAACTATTTTGGACTGGATTAGACATTACTTCACTCGGTTGTCCTCCGAGATCTTTTTTCTCTCTCCTCTCTTGCGGCACAATAGTCCATCCTTCTTGACCTTCTTTCTCTCTCCTTCCCTTCTCACTTCAAACCTCTTTTATTTTCTTTCTCCCCCTTCCTTCCCCTCTCCTTGCCGTCGTTCCCTTCCAACAAAGTCTTCCCTTCCGTTCCTTCTTTTCTCGCTTAACCCAACTGCTGCGCACACACACTCTTTTGTTTTCATTCAAAGTGGCCGGTTCATCTACAGATACAGTGTACAGTACTGCACTCATTGTAGTCGACTAATCACATCCGTCATCACATCAATTCGTCGCTTGGTCCCCCTCCCCCCTGTCGATCAGCGAATCGGGGTGGCATTTTCCAATTTACTCTCTACCATAGAACACTACTGCGCGGTAATAGCCTTCTAAAGGTATTGTATATTTCTGTGGCTTTCCCTCGCTTGCTTGCCTACTTGATATGCGGATTGTTGAAGGGCATGTTCCGCTGGGAAGTCGTCCTTGAGGTTCCGAATTCCGAGATTTTTGGACTTTTTGGATATTTTTTAATCCCTTGGTTACTTTTTTTGTCGCCCTGCCTGCCCTTTTATGTGTAAAACATTGAATTTGTCCTGTTTGCTAAGCTACTTCCCATTAATAGTTATAGGAAAATAGATTCTTTGCCTCAATTTCGGATACAGTGTTTGAATAGACGGACGTGGAGAACTGTATTTTGGCAATATATTTTAGTTCTTTGTGGGATTTGAGGTAAGGGGTTTCTTCCCTTTTTAAGGCGTTGATCCTGGGGTGAACAATTCACTGACAGCTTCCCTCTAGTGCAAGGTCCGTTCGCCATTTTACTCCCGGTGTGCAACATCAAAGGGGGTAGACTTTTTCACGTCACTAGGCTAACTCTTAGTTTTTCGCTTCCTCCCTACCTGATCTTACAGTTCTACGTTACATTCTATACATACATTACACGACCGCTTTTTTTTTTTTTTTCTTCTCTCTCTCTCTTTAATAATAGTTGGATACTACGATAATGCATCGTTTGCGTACTTTCAGAAAGGCGAAGGAAGAGGACGAATCCATTCCTCCGGTGCCGACACCACCTTCCAATCACAAGGGTTTCAAATGGGGAAAGAACTCGTCTCCTCCACCAAAACAGCAACCGGAGCTGGACCTTCAACATGTGCTACCTCCTACAGATGACTTTAGGACTTCCTTGTTGATGCCCAATCTTGCACAACGGTTCAGCATTCTCCAGATGGAGCAGGCAGCTGCGGCCGCGGCCGCGGCAGCAGCAGCGGCTGGGAAGGTCAATGGAGAGGGTCCTGTTACGACTGGTGTAGTTGAGGGAAAGGATGGGCCTGCATATGCGTCTCCTGCTTTTACTCCATTAGGGGATATCGCAGAGACCTCGTCGGTCACTGGGTCTACTATTGGCGCCACCCGACAGAATCGCCTGACTACGAAGTCCGAAGAGTCGTCTAATTCGGAGCAAGATGGGTCAATAATGAACCGCTCGAGAGGTGGTGAAGGGAATGTGCTCTTTGGCGGGAGACAGAAAATTTATCGCGTACCGACTGGGGTATCTAGGATGGGTTCTTCCGAGGACCTGCCAGGTAGATCTGCTTCTCCTATGAGTGGCCGGGCCGTGTATGATAATGACGTGATGGATTCTGCGTTTGCGAAGCCGCGAAAGGGATCGCAGGATCAGGAGGCGAGCATGGACGGTCCTGGAGATTATAATAAGAACAGATATACCAGCTCCTCGACGAACTCTACGCCCACAACTACCACTCGGTCGTCTACCGCAGCTACCTCGGTTGCATCTAATACTAATTCTGTCTCAATACCTACCTCTACATCCACATCTTCACTTCCGACCGTTGGGTCGGGGTCCATGGCTTCAAGTAAACCCCGAAGGCCACTGTATGAGCAGGCTTTGGATCAACAACTTCAGGATCATCAAAATTCGGCTGCTGGAAGATTAGAAAGACTCGCTTCTATCCGAAAATTGGGCACAACAAGCCCTCCAATGGCTAGTTATTCGAATGGCAACAGTTCTCGATCTGGACCTCAGTATACCTCGCCTACTTCTCCTACATCAATTCATAGTAAAAACCAATGGCCTAGAAAGCGGCCTGATTCGCCTTTATCACCCCCCGAAGAGGTAGCACACGAGGAAGAGGAGGAAGAAAAAACAAAGGAAATTGGACCGAGGAAACAGGATACTGAAGTATTGTCGTCGAATCTTGGAACTTTTAACTTTGGCTTGGGACTGGCTTCTCAGACTCCTATTAGTCCCCCAGTTTCCGCGAATATTGTAGAGTTCCCTATCCAAAGCCCGTTCAGCCCTGGAGATCTGCCTGGAGAGCAAATGAGACAAGGGAGCCCGGAGAGAGTTGTTAGTCCTCCGCCCCAAGAGGAGAGGATTCCTTTGGATAGTCAGAGGGGCCGGAGGTTAAGTAGGGACGAGGACAGAACTGAATCCCGGGCTTTCCTGTCTATGCGAAGCAGCTCCAGTGAGTCGAGTTATGATGATGATGATGAGCTGGGTGGCGACCATGAAGGCAGGAGGCGGAATGTAGCACCACTTCAATTGACCAAGGAGCCGACCATCTCAACGCGAGGGTCGCCAGTATCGATATCCCCGGTTTCGATATCCCCGGTTTCTCCAGTTTCACCTGCATCGGGTCACGAGAGGGTATCAGACAAATCCGTTTCCCCTGACCCGCCGCCTCTTCGGAACCCGGCTATTTCGCCTACGTCTCCGAGGTTCTCTGATACCAACTTTACCGCCGATGACGATTCGCCGACTCTTCCGCCTGCTCAGGGCCTTGGTGTTTTGGTTCGGCAACATCTTCGGTCTGATTCTGGGCACTCTTCCATGTATGCTGGGTCAACTTATACTCGGATGTCTAGGAATTCTCGCTACGGCGCTAGCAACGGGAAGCAAGCAAGCGTGTCCGGCGCTGGTAAGGTTTCCAGTGGGAGTGGTACGGCCAGGCCTAGCGGTGCATCTGGTAGCAGTGGCGGGAATCTGTGGGAGTTTGATGATTGGGATGGTGTGGATTATGGGGATGACGAGAATGGCCCTCCCAGCCCATCAACTATCAGCGATTCCCAAGGAATCACAGTGCCACCTTCGATACCTCAGAAGGCACCTGGAAGGAGCCCGGCAATGCCGGATTCGAGGACCAGTGGTGATAGACCGGAAGAAGACAACTGGAACAAAGAGAGGGAATTGGCAACGAGTAGAGCGGATGAGCGGAGGAATAGATCTTCTGAGGAGGATGAGCAAGATAAGGATTGGGAGCAACAGCTGGCTTTCAGACGACAGATTATCCAGCAGAATTTGAGGAACCAGGAAAAAGTTAATAGTCAACACGATATGCCTTTCCCACCTCCAGACCCTAGAGAGGGACCGCCGAGGAATAATGGGCCTGGTTTTAACATTCTCAAATCTAAGAGCTCAAACGGATTTCTCGCAAAGGGCGATGTATCGAAAGGCCCTAAGGCTCCGGGAATGGAGCCACCTGTCAATGGACTTCCAATGCGTCCAGATGGTAGAGGAAGGATCATGTATGGTGAAGAGAGAATGCTTAGGGAGACAGTTAGAGGCCCCCACAACATGCCTCCGCCGCACCATCACCCAATGCATCAACCTCCTCATCACCCTCCACCACATCATCCCAATCATCCCAGACAGTTTCAGGGACAGCAGATGCTCACTACCAATCAACCATACAATCGTTATCCCCCTGGTGAAAGACCCCCCCTCGGCCTTCCTCACCCTTTGCATTCACCTATGCATGCTCCTAGGATGAGACCTAGACCGTCTCAGGAGCAGATGAACAGTGCGCAGAGCACTCCGAGAGGTGTGCCAATGGGATGGAGGGATGAAAACTGGGGACTTCCTCGTTCAGCGCCTGGAACACAACCCGGAACTCCAACTACCCCCCGAGATAGCAGGATGCCGAGGAAGCAACCCAGTATGCCCGGTATGAACGGTCGTAGAGATGACATGCGACAGCCGCCAAACCAAGGACAGAAGTTCAGAGGCAGGGAGGATGAGCGTGGATATGATCGTGGATATGATCGTGAACCTCGCCGCCATCCTGGAGGTCTTCCTCCTCATCATCCGCCCCAACCTCGTCCACAGTATGATGCCCCTAATAGACCTAGGCATGAAAGCGTTGAGACCTCTCCGCCACCCCCATCACATGACTTTAGGAGGCCTCGCAATGGTAGCAATGCCTCACCGGCGCCTACCATGAGGCAAAGAAGGGGGACGCTTGATTCTACACCTCTACCACCTCTCAATACCTCTGTTGCGGCAGCACCATTGGCACCTCCTAAGCAATCTCAACCATCGTCAGCAGCCACTCCCTACTCCACCGTATCATCGGACAAATCTCCTGCCATTATTCAACGTACACCAACAACGGCAGGCAGCAATGGCCCACCAGCAGCAGCAGTGGTCTCATCCGCGATGGCAAGCATTCAGAATTCCAACGCTGGATTTGCCCCGGCAAAGAAGAGAACTATTAACAAAAGCCAAATCGGTGAGCCAAGGCTTCTGTCGGCAACATCCAATATTCCTACTCGAGCTCTTCCCCCGCAAGATCCCACTCCACCACTCTCTGACCCATCTCGCCCTGCCAAACCTCGTAGCAGACGGATGACAACTACACAGAATATTTTTGGCGGCTTTGGGAAGAACAAGTCATCAGAGGAAGTTCCGGTTATCGCACCTCCACCGTCCTCTCATCACAGGAGCGATGACGAGATTGAGCGTTCCTCCTTCACAGACGACCCGCCGCCGAAGAGGAGTAAAGGAGGAAAGCTCCGGAAGTCGACGAGTGATGGAGGAGCGCTTGCATCAAGGTCCCGGCAGCAAGCGATGAGCAGGGGACTTACAGTGCCAAGGATACAAAAAGGAATGGTTGGAGTGCCGGCACAAAACATGGACACCCCTGGGGGAATGATTTGATCTATAATCATACAAATTATACAGTACTCTTGTCCTTAGGTAGTTTGATATCCTTTTCTTTAGGTCATTATTTTTAGGGTCGGTTGGACGGTGAGGGGTTTCTTTGTTTTCATTTATATATCTTTCCCCTTTCTTCAAAACTTCTTTGCTTAGTAGGGTTTAGTTCAAACGACCGTTATGCCGTCCTACCATTTGGTACCTCCTTAGGTGTTTAGTGAAGGACCTTGATTTATTTATTTCTTGCATATTTTCTTGAGTACGTATTATACTTCTTGGAGACTCCTGGATGAAGAGGCACGTTCGTAAAGTGCGAGTACATGATTACCGAGGGCATAATATTATGTTATGTAGTCTACCATAGTTGTAGTGCTGTATTTCTACCTTGTTGTAGCTGGAGGGGGAAGTCCAGACGTGGTTGGGGTATAAAATGATTGAATTCATGATCTGCCCAGAGTGAGCGAGGAGTTTCAATGTGACGTTAGCGGCTCTGCATCAACAAGATCGGGAAAGTTCACCGAATCTGCTGGACGCTTTCACGTGCATTTCCATTCCAGAGAGCACACTTGAGTAAGAATTCGGAGGAAATGGGGGGCTTTACCGGTACTCTGCCCATGTGCCCCGAGCAGACAGTTTAGAACATTTTTTCTCTCTCCAACCTATCACCACCACTCTGTCCCCCCTATTCTGCTCTACCAAGTTTTCTAGTGATAACTTTTATCGTTAACTCGCTGGAAAACTTGACCTCATCTCCAGCAGTCAATCAGGGTTAGCCCGATCGAATCCTCAAATCACGGGCTGAGACGCTCGCTGACGACAGCTAGTTCAAACGGGGATGCATGGCAGCTCTCGGTAGGATTGTTCCTCTTCCAGGGAATTCAACCCTCTCTCCCCTTCCACCCCCCACTCACTTTTTTTTTTTTTTACCACGCTTGAGAGTTCCCTTTATTTCCACAAACTGACCCCAACCATTATTTACAAAATAAGATACTCCTTGGACTTTCTACATGTCTGATGAACCGTCAAGCGGGGCCGAGCCCCTGACAGATCTCCACCCAACGCCGTCAACTAGGGATCCTAATCCTCCAACTTTCGCTTCGTTCGCCCCACCGTCGAGTTCCCCCGCTGCACGATCTACCTTTCAAGTCCACCAGAAGAGCCCTTTGCTCGCTGCTACGCCGCCTCGGGTTACCCGCGCGCTGAGTCGGGCGTTTCCATACCTTTCTGGATTGAATTGGGTTGCTGGTCTGCTCACCTGGACGACGAAGGACCCTTGGGAGAGCTTCCTGGTTGTGGCGGCATTCTGGGCCGCGGTTTTATACGGTGACGTAGGGTTGCGCTGGGGCGGGAATGTTGTTGTGGTGGCGCTCTTGATCTTGGGGATGTTTTTGAGGAGGTACCGGGATGGTTTGTCTCGCATGGCATGAGTTATTTCGAAGGGGCGGGGCTTGGGCTGATCTTTCGCCTTTTATGGGGATTCATAGAACCGACGCCGACTACACTGGATGAGATACTCGAGACACTGTCTACATTGACTACTCGGCTGAACATCTTTTTCGAACCCTTCTTGTCGTTGACGAGATTTCTGTCCACAACAGTTACTGCGACCACGGCTACGACCCGGCCTGTGCTTACCACGCTGTTCTTCAGGATACTGATAACTACACCGATATGGTTGTTTTTCACGATTTATCCATTTCAAGTGATAACCACCCGACGCGTAGTCCTCGCTACGGGGACATTGATACTCTCGTGGCATTCCCGGCCGGCAAAGGTTAGCCGCACAATATTGTGGCGAAGCTCACTGATCCGTGCGGTATGTTCGTATGTTACGGGACTTACTCTAGTCCCCCTCCCACCGCCACCTGCACTGCCCCCGAGAAGGGCCCGGAAATCCAGCATGAATAATCACACTGTAAACCCAGCTACTGCGTCGTCAACTTCAGTCAATTCGTCAAAAGCATCTCCACCCAAGAGGGCCCCGTCATTACAAATTGACCCGTCAAAAAGCACACCATTGACTGCTTCGACCACCGGCGCTTCTCCGGGGGTTAAGTTCACGTTTGCAATTTACGAGAACCAAAGGCGTTGGTTGGGCGTGGGCTGGACTAGTAGTTTATTCGCGTACGAGCGCGCACCTTTCACAGACGAGCACCTGCAGCCATGTCCGCAACCCGAGGAGTTTGCACTCCCGGAGACACCGGCTGGAAGCGGTGTTCGCTGGCGCTGGGTCGAGGGGGAGGAATGGCGGGTGGAAGGTGCTGATGGCCATGGGAAGAAGAGTAAGGGACAAGAAGTGAAAGATAAATTGGGGGGGAGTGGGGAGGTTGGTGAAGGGTGGGTGTATTACGATAACAAGGTAGCTTCCCGCATCCGCATTCATGTTCCGGCGGCAACTAACCTTGGTAGTGGCGGGACGGTCGCAGAGGTGTCGACGGCTGGGGAAAATACACACGGAGAAGGAAATGGTACAGAAACGCCGAATTAGTCGAGGACCTAGGATCTGACGATTCCGACGGCGAGGGCGAAGCCGAAGTCGACGCCCAAGAGAAGGAAGAAATAACAGAAACCGCCTTCTCACCCCTGACGAATGAAGAAAATCAAAAGGAGGAACAGCTGTATAGGAGGACGGAAAACGAGGAGGACGAGGGCGATGTATCAATGGATGAGGTACCCGACGTGATCGTTACCTCGGAGGAGGATGGAACCGGGGAAGAGAAGCAAAAGTATATTATGGAGAAAAATGTTGTTAGTGGGAATGGCGCAGCCAGGCCACCGCTGCCGCCGAGGTAACTTGGTTAGTATCATATAAGTTTTGAGGCGGCGGTGGGATTGACGGGGGTGTTTGGTGTTGGATAGCTTTATTTACTTATTTCCATATTTTTGCTATAGCTTTTGTCCTTGTGCGGAGTGTAGTTTTGCAGCCATGGCTGTGATAATTCACGCTAGCAATATGTGCATTTCTAATGATTGGGGTGGAGTCAGGTGGCTTAGGTGAGGGAGATGGATTTCGGGTATGGCTGGACGCTATCGTACCGCCAATATCGTATCGCCAAAACTGGTGACGCCCGCGAGGTAAATCACAGCTCACAAGACCCAACTGCCAGTATGTAAATCTCTTTTTTCAATTAAAGCTTTTGGTACTGACTACAACCTCGACTATGTCTCCTTCGCCGGGCGCTGAGCGACGGATACCACTACTAGCTGGTAAAGCATCATGCATTCAGGTGACCGACTCACCACTGTATGCTGTGCTGTCATACACCAGATAGGCGAATTCACTGTGGAAACCAGGTGCATTAGAGGCGATCTTTATCCTTCCGGCATACAGAATTGTTCCCTCGGCGCTTTATCGCCCATTTCGTGATTACCTCGCCCCAGGGGTTCTGTCGACATCAAGACCATCCCTGTCCCTCCCCCCCTTTTTTTTCTTGCCATTTTCCGGAGGCTCGTCTGGGCCGATGTGTTGAAACATACTTCTCGCACTACTGTAGTGTTACTCCTACTACTGATACTTTCTCCTTGCATTAAACCTGATGGCGCATCTAGACCTCCCGGACTATTGAAGATACCTCCTTGCCTTTCTCACACATCTTTTCTCTATTATTGTTATTGTTCGCTCAAGCTATTTGTTGCTCCAAAACAGTAGATAGTCGGGTCTTCAGCTCTTCCCTTTGAAAGTGTTAAGCATTCAAGTTTCTCAAGCAATCGATCACTTCTTCATATCTCGTATCATCCTTCTATCCAATATTCTCACAACACGATGTGTTGTGAGAGTATTGAATGGAACGATGATATGGCGAAGTGAATAATTGCTTGAGAGACTCGAACGCTTGACTATCTCAACAGGAAGAGCAAAAGACCCTAACTATCTACTGCTGAGAGCGAGACACAAAAGGTCGAGTGAACAATAACAATGACAAAGGAAAGAAAAAGGAGAAAGAAGCAAGGGGGGTATTATTAGGGGTAGACCAGTGATAGAGTTTGATGTAAAGGAAAAAGTCTATCGTAGCGTGATACCATAGTAATATCAGAAGCATGTTTCAACACGATGGCAGACCGGTGTATCGAGTGATGGGCTATGATTTGCCTGACGATCCGGTATTATACCCTGGAGCCTCGGAATGGGAGGCGATTGCGGGGTGTGGGCGTTGGCTCTGCCTGGCCGAATGAGAGCGGAAGGGCTCGGCGGTGTTTTGGATGGAGCATGTAGAGATTGTTGGACTGTACTGTACGTTTTCCTTGTGAGGCCGCTGGGGCAGCACGTGGCTCAATGCGAATGGGAGTTTTATATCGTAGGACTTGTGGGGGACTGGCGGTGTAGCGTTTGGGCGGAAATGGCGTTGCCCAACTAGAGACGATGTTGGGGGGGCGGAGGGAAGGGTTTTTGGAGGTGTTGAGCGGGTACGTACAGTAGTTCGTATATGTGTTTTCCGGTATGATAACATTCGGATTTTCCCTCTTTTCTGGTTTGGGTGGATACGGCGACTGTGCCACTTCGCGCCCGCGTTGATGGGAGGGAATTATTTCTCGTTCTGGTTTGTGGCGGTGATAGCTCTTCATTTGGAATTTCATTTGTATATTCATACTTGTTCGTGATTCCCAATGGCTTCGGGGAAGATTCAGGGATTGCTGTGTATCTTAGTTTTCTAGGGGGTTTAGGCGAAACTACATTGCCGAGCGCCTAATATAATTATTCTACTCCCTCACCAATAAAGCGACAACGATAAGACGGTCAGGACTTCAAGTCCCAGTAGGAACACCTATCGATTTGTAGAGCCGGGTATACCGGTATGTTTTTTCCAGGAGGTGTTCCCTTTTTTTCCCGCTGCGGTGGTCAAGCGTAGTGGATCACTAAAAACCCATGTTCCCGTTCATATCCCCTGTACAGTATTTCTAGACTCCCCCCCCCGCCTAGGCGGTCGGTTTGCTTTAGTTATGGAGAAACTAGCTCGCGCCAAATTCAGAATATTTGGCTATCCGGGGATGCCACCTGTCTCTGTCTCTTGTATGATAATAATATTATGATAGAAGAAATTCCCTCTTGTGTATTTAGTAGGGGTTGAGTGAGTTTAGGGCTCGAAAAGTACGCCTACTCAGTACTGCACACTGCCCTCATGTTATCCGGGGGGCGGCCCCCAATGGATACCTTAAGCCTATGCTCATGGGGCAGAGATCTAGATACGGTATTGTGGTCAGAACAGCACATAGCTGAGACATATGGGGTGTTATCATACAGTACTGTACTTCTCTCAACCATCGGCCGAAACTAGCTTTCACGGATATCCGAGTAATGCACCCTGCAATCGCATCCTTTCCAGCTGTCGAGTCCTGCGCACGCACCCCGGGCTCTTGCACACTGCCCGCAGCTAGTACGGTTTTTCTGTCATCCGAGGAGCAAAATCCTCGGGAAAGTAAATAATTAGGTGGGGGACTTTAGTTTGCTGCACCGGTATGATACACTTCTTTACAGAAAGTCGTAGACTTGCTGCCTCAGTTGCACTTGAATTCTTCCTGTTTGTGCAGCCGCCGTGGTGCATTGAGTGAGATAGCATATCTGTGGTGACACACCAGCCGGAAGCTATATCACTGCGAACGCTAGTGAGAAAGGGAACCCGGACCTCTCTTTTAAAAATCTCTTATCCAACCCCTCCCACCCCCTGTCCCAAGCCCCCCTTTCACGCGTGATCACTCGGTATCTCGTCTCACCTCGTATCTTACCCTTTCCTCCACCAGACCGAACATCACTCCAAAAAGCCAGTCTTGCACCACTCCTCCCACCCGATAAGAATGAAGAAGAAACGAAGGAAAAAGGGAAATCTCTTAGGTGGAGTCTTCCCCCTCGTATGCGCGGCGTGTTTTCGCCATCGGCGCTGACTCCAAAGCCTACACTACCCACCCACCCACCTTCGATTAGATCGGTGATGCCATGCGATTAGCACAATTTATCTGAGCGCAGGTACGAGGGCCAAAGGGGGGTAGTAGATTGAGAACTTGACAAGTGAGTTTTTTTTTTCTCTCTCGGAGGGAGGGATTGAATATATTTTTCCGGGGGAGAGGGTTTGGGGTATAAAGTTGTGATGGAATTTTGGATTATGTAATCGTATGGTTAGCTGGTAAATCCCTGTATGATGGGTGTTTATCGTGATAAGTTGTGTACTGTACTCGTATGATATTAAAATTGTATGGTTGGCAGGGGATGGAAGGGAAGAAGGGAGGAAGGAAAGAAAGGAAGGAAGGCGTAGAAAGTGATGATCTCATTCTCATAATTACAGTATCATATTTATTTTGGAATCAGCGATAAACAACAACACCAGGAGACACTTCCTTAGAGGTTGTCAGTTTACCTCGAACTGGCACCGGCTTTAAGTTACTGGCAACTTGGTTTGTCCCCTCCCCCACCCGCTGTAAACACAGTTCAACCAGCCTCCATGCTTCATTCATTCCTCATATCAGCCCCAACCCAACGGTAACCCAACCGCCACAAAAAGCAACGACCACACAACTCACCCATCCACTCTGCTCCCATCCATCCATCCATCAATCCATCAATCAATCAACCAAACTCTCCTAATCGACCACCTACCCGCCCACCCACCTCGCCCACCTCGCCCTCATCATCATCAACACAACAATGGGGAACACTTCCACAAAAGAACGCTCACTTACCCCTCCCCACGGCTCACATCACCAGTCTTCCGCAAATTTACCTTCGTCGTCGCGCCGCGGAGGTCCTTCTGGCACTGGGCGACTGTCCAACACGTTACTTGGTGGCCCAGGAGATAATGGTGGCGGTGCAGGTGGAGGATACTCGGGGCGTGGGAGGTCACGGCATGGAGATTTGTTTGGGTTGAACGGTCGGGAAACCAGGGAGCGAGATCGGGAGGCAGAACGGGAAGCCCGGGAGCTGAGAAAGGCCGAGAGGGAGAGGGAGCGGCTGAAGGAGAGGGAGAGGAGCTTAAGGGAGGAAAGTGTTGATGGTGGGCAATTTTTTTCTTCGCTTGGGTGCTTGAGAACAGCACCCCTATTATATTACCGACATGGTATTTCATTGGAGAGATATCGTATTCTAACTGTATTAGGTGGCTTTCTTGTTACGCAGGGAGTATACACTGGTGTTGAGGATTTTAGGGACAAGATTGTCCGACAGTTAATGGTATTTTTTTCCCCTCCAGGCCTAGTTGCTTTCACATAGCTCTAACATCAACAAGATCGAGCGCAGATTAGCCCCGTTTTTCAAGGGTCTTTCGGATCACGACTCAAACTGGACAGACTCGCAACTCGTCGCCGCTGTAAAAGGCCTTCCAATCCCTTCCCCATCCGCCACCCCCTCAATACACGACCCTCTTCAATCCCCCACCCCGCCAAGATCTCCCGGCCCCTCCGACTCCACAAACAATCTAACCATACCAATAGCAACCCGATCGCGGTCGCATTCCTACACATCCGAGACGTCCAACCGTTCGGAGACTAGCACTCCGACACTCAACTTTGGTTCCCGCTCACGCGCAAAGACCATCTCCATATCCTCCCCGCACAACCCCACGTTGGCGAGCATCGCCAGTCCACTAGAAACCAATGACCCGTCAAGAATCGTCGACGGCCGGCCGATAGAAGCGGTTCTGTACAAGAGTGCGGTCGAATGCCCAATCTGTTTCCTATACTACCCACCATATCTCAACAAAACACGCTGTTGCGACCAAGAGATCTGCTCGGAGTGCTTCGTACAAATCAAGCGGCCGGATCCACACCTGCCGGAGCACCACGACGATCCTAATAACCCTTCGTCGAGTAACAGCTCCCCCGACCAGCTGATCTCCGAACCGGCAACCTGTCCGTTCTGTGTAGAGCCTGAATTCGGCGTGATTTACTCCCCGCCGCCATTCTGGAGGGGAATTCAATATGTGACGAATACCGCCACTACCTCTTCGGGGTCAAACTCTACATCGTCAACCCCACCACAGACGGTTCCCCTGTCACCGTCCCACCCGCCACAGTCCCCGGGTAGGAGGCCTGTCCTCTCCGTCACGTCCCCGGAAGTTGTGACAACCGACCGCATCCGGCCCGACTGGTCACAAAAGCTCGCGACAGCCCGTTCCCATGCTGCGCGAAGAGCCGCGGCGGCAACGGCACTGCACACAGCCGCATATTTAATGTCCCCATCACCAGCCTCGTCCTCCTCCTCAGCCACGCCAGGAAACAATCCTCCAAGCACATTCTCTTCCCGCCGCCTGATCCGGCGTGCGCAGGCTGAGCTCCTCGCCCCATCTCAGCCACCCCCACCTTCCACTCTCGCGTCCAGTAGTAACAATACTAGCAACGCAATAGCCACAGACTACCTCTCCCGAAGAAGCAGAATGGTGGACCTGGAGGAGATGATGCTCCTAGAGGCAATAAGACTCTCCCTCCAGGAGGAGGAGCAACGCAAGAATAAGCCTGCCGAGGGTAAGGGCAAGAGTGTCGAGCGGACCGATTCTTCGGATACCGCTGCCAAGGCGGGGTGTAGTAGCGGCGCTGACGGTGATAGCGGTGCCGAGGAGAACGCAAGCGGCGGCCTGGAGAGCATTTTTAATTTCAGAAGTTTCGAGCAGATGATTGCTGGGCAGGAGGCGCGGCGTCAACGACCACGACTGTGTACGGAGGAAGGAGGAGGAGGTGGTGGTGGGAGTGATGTTGGAAAGGGCAAGGGCAAAGATGGAAGTTCGAGCAGTAGTGGTGGTGATGCAGGCAATGTGGAGGACCTACGCTCTGCCAAAGGGAAAATTGTCGATAGGTCGTAGTCTTCGTTTCTGTTTATGATTGACGGATTGATGCATACATGCTGGATGGATGGATGGTTCTACGTCGTTCAGGTTAGTCGGTTAGCACTTAGTTTATGTCCCACACGATACAATACTCATGATACGACGCGATGGATGGATGGATCGGTCAAGTTAGGTTAGGATATGTTAACGGCAAAGCTAACGTCCGCACAGCGGTGGAGTTAGTATTCTGTTCCCTCTCCCTTTCTTTCTCCCTTTCTTTCTTTGTCCTTTCTTCCTCCTTATCCTCTATATTATGGCTGGTCTGTGTCTATCTGTTCGGCCGTTTTCTTCGCGCCTTCTGTTTTCTCAATCTCTACTTTTTCATCATTATATCATGCTACGTCTTCTTCTACAGCCCAACTTTGCCGCTGTTACACTGTTTGGCTGTTTAGTAGGGTGGGGTAGGTGGTAGGTAGCAGGTCACTAGTCACTTAGTAGGTCGGTTAGTCGGTTTGTTAATATTGATTGCATGACACAAATTGAATTCTCGCCACAATAGCGTTATCATAGTTACTCGAGTGAGAATGCGTGATGTGCTGTTGAGGATGTGATGGGGTGTTTACAAGACATTATCAAAGGTACCAATACTATACTCGTCTATATCTAGATACAACACAAGCGTGTAAGGTCTGTCAGCGGTAAAAAAAACAGATCCGCACCGGACATCCTCAAGACTGGGCAAAAACGAATCACCGCTCTCCCCTCCTAACCGCATTCCTATCCAACCAAGCCCTAATAGCGCCCTCCTCCTCCCCGGCCCCACTGACCTCTTCTACGGCAGCAACAACCCAACAGACATCCCACCCACCATCCTTCTCTAGCACACTCTCCACGGCAATCCTCTCGGCGAGGTGCCTACGCTTCTGCGTACCCTCATCGACGCACAATCCCAACTCCCCACCACCGTCCTTCAAGTCTTGCACAACCTTCTTGATAAGCGGCATCACGCCCGCCACCCCAACACCCTGCGCAGGATCGTCAGCGATTCCGAGATTCGCTCTTCCAGTCTTACACATCTCATTCCGACACCAAACCCTGTCACAGCCAGTAATCGCCTGCCTGATCAATCTCCTTTCAAGTCTCCGGCCCAGCGCTGTGTCGCCGGGATCGTATCCGGGAGCATACAAGGGTCCAAAGCAACTCCCGCAGAGGCCGAGTGGGTTGGGGTGGCGGAGGCCCTTAGTCGTACGAGCGCAGTTCACGTTCCGGCAGGTGATTGGCGGGGGCGTGGATAGCCTTTTAAGGTCGTGGTTGCGAACGTGTGCGTCTAAATCTCGCATTCTTACGATTCGGTTGCAGAGATGACAGTTTGTTGTGCGGCCGCCGCAGGTTAGTTCGTGGTGGGTCAGGCCTAGGAGGAGAAGCTCGGCATGGTTGCTTGAGGATTCCTGGGGGAGGAGGAGGTGGCAGAAGCGGCAGAGGACTAGTTTTTCGGGACAGGTTGTTGTGCGGTGGATGGCGAGGTCTGGGAGGTTTACGGCTGTGTAGGGGGAGGAAGAGGAGGCACATGCGGGACAAGGGCGCGGGGTGTGGTAGATGGATACGTGCTTTCGCAGGGAGTAGGGGGTGTTGTTGCCGTGGGCCGTGCATTGTTGGCAGTGCCAGTGGGTGTTTGGAGCACCGCGTTTGGAGACTTGGTGGCAATGGGGGCACACAAGGTTATTCCGCAGGCAGAAGTTTTCGTGAAGAATGAACGTGCGAGTTGGGACCCACTGGGTGCAGTTTCTGCATTGTTTGTAGTCGGGGCTTGGTGGAGTAGTGATGGTGGGGGCTTCCGTGTCTTGGATTTCGGTTTGGGTGATTCGAAGGGAATATGGGCGGGGAGAGTTATCCTCCTCAGCCTGTTGTTCACCGCCCTCCTCTATGTCTAGTGGCGCATATCCGTGGACGCCAATGAATATCCTTTCCACGTCAACAAGCTCGATGTTTGTCGGATTGATTTGTATTGTTTTTGGATATTTACTTCCGGAATCTCCCCATGCATGCTCGTCTTGTCGAGGCTTGTGATGGTGTTTGGATGTTGTAACAAATATATCCACTTCGTCACCGTCGTCTACTTCGTCGAGTTCTATTACGAGCGGCTCCTTTCGGTCCCATTCCGATAGCTCGTAGAAGTGATATTCACCCGGCAGAACTCCACCTTTGGCTGGCTGGCCGATCTTGAGAGCGCCACCGCTGCTACCGACGGACTTCCGTGCTAGCCGTTGCTTCAAGGTTTCTCTAGCTTGCTCTTCGGATAATGGTTCAATGTCAACTTCTAGATCTATGCAAGCAGTCAGCACAACACCTTGGAAGTTTCTTGAATAGCATGGTTTACTCACCAGTATCGACAATACACACCGCCTCCTCCGGTTTCATGGCGTCAATCAAAAACCGAAATTCTGCCTTTTCCTTCCCGCCAATCGCCAGTGTTCTCCCCCCAATCGCCAAAATCTCGCCAACCGTTAATGTAGTAAAGTTGACCCTCAAGTATCTCTCTAGCAAAGCTTTCCAATCCTCCTCATCATACCCCGCTTCCAAAGGTCTTAATCGCACATAAGTGCCTCTCGGTAAATCTTTCCACACGACTGTAATTCTCTTTTCCTCATCCTCCACCAGTTCCCCCTCCCCCGCACCTTTCATCTCTACATCCTCATCGATACCCAGTGCATCCCGTAATAACGGTGATATACCAATCTTCCCTTCCTCTGCGGAGAACTCTAAAGGGGCTGCGTGTGAGAATCGGTTATTTCTTGGGTTGAATAGTCTGAACATGAGAGGGTGCGGGAGCTGTGGTTGCGGGCGCTCATGGCGAGCTGCAGAAGCCCATGAAATATCTACCTGCGGCGGGTGAGTGTCTGTCAAAGCTGGTGTTGGCTGCGACCCCGACTGCGTTGATGAAACGGCGGCAAGGAGTTGCTCAAGCGCTGATTGCGGTAGAAGTATTTTATCACCGACAAGAGAAGATGATATCTCCGAAGAGGGCAGTACGGATAACTGGCTGGACCAATGTAGCACTGGGGAAGCCATAACAGAGGTGCAGGGCAATTTTCATTCCTCTCTGATGAAGATGTAGGTAATGGAGCGGTTGTCGAAGTTGAAGTGTCGTAGGTTTGATGATGGGTTGCGGTGAAGGCAATTTTGGGATGACGCGTCGGGGCTGGTAAGGTGGTGGTGGCGGCGATCTGGTGTTGCACTGCTTACGAATTACGCGAGGTATCATGCTCGGGCGAAGCTTCGAGAAGCTTTCTGTGAAGGGGTAATTTACTCAGCGCTTTGGATGAAGAGGACGATAGATCACCGCGCCCCAATACTAAGCAGCTCTTTGCTAGTATGGTTCTGTGGAAGAGAACATCGTGAATCACGACAGTCTATCATAATACGAGTACAGTAGAATAGAATATGTCAAGACCCTTTGAGGGGTCTGAACCCAAATCTTCGACTTGGGGATTTCGACCCATTCCGGAACAAGGTTAATCCGTGGATATCTCTAATACCCCGCCCCTCCCCACCCATATACTGCTATCGTAGTTATGATATCATAGCAAAACCCGTGCCTGGGTTTTTTTGTGGGGATGATCCTACTTGTGGTGTATGACCTAAATCGCTCGTATCATAGTCTGCTCAATTTTGAGCTCCGCTTTCATTGAGCGCCTCGCCCCCGCAGAGAACTCAACAGAGCTCCTCCCCCGCCTACGGTAGCACGGCACCCGAGTGGAATCGCGGGGGGGTTATGCAGGGAGATCAGATGCGCAGCTCAGAGCGTCATATATGCACGGTATCACTAAGGTTCAGGCAGCGATGATAGCTAAGAGAGGGTTGATCCAGGTAACCCTCCTGGATTTGGAAGCCCATATCTTGAGGTCTTCCTTCTGTTGGCAGCTCTGTTCCCGGCATACCCTCCGGGGAAATTCTAGGTCTTCCCCGTGGGAGTGCTAACCAACACCAGACCGAACTCCAGATTATACCAGACTCGCACCGTGCTCCACAACCCGACTATTTGATAACCGCTAGCTCCCTTGATGCCCTCCAGTCTTTAATACCGGTCCCAAGGTTATGCAGGGGAGCTAGAAAGAAACGGCGATGCCGTGAATGGAAGGATGCTCCAACAGAGAGAGAGAGAGAAAATGAAAGCGCGAGTGATACTATGTGATCAGGATGTTTTATTCCTGGGGAAATTTACTTGCATGGTTGTTCCTTACCCTAGGGACTCTGCGGCCTGATATCCATTTTTCCCCTCCAGGCGCCTAATTAAATTAATACTCGCATTCCGATTACTGAATTTCCATACATTGGTCGCAGACGACGGAGTTGGTTACGTGGCATGGTCGGCCAGAAAACCTGGTTCCCACGCCGGTGAATGGATATAAAGTCCTCGTACAGTCGCAACCCGCTACCCCGGATGAAATCCTGGACTTTTGGCCACCCGAGACAGCGGGGTGTGACTGCACTCCCCTTGCCCCTGAAATCCTCTAAATTCCCTAACCCCCCAGCTTGGCTGTACTGTAATATCGCAATTCCTTCTTGTGGGATGAACCTGTGCTTGAGCGTCTTACGATAGCTCACTTGTCCGCAATTCTGGTGGGTTGCGGCAAGAATTCCGTCAACATGTCCAACACCTTAGCTTCACCTACCTCTTGCAGGGGGATCTTTACGGGCATCTTGCCGAAGGAAGTTCATTCCCGACCACGGTCAGGCTCTCGCTTTCGGGTGCCGTGTTGGCAAATATGCATGACACTGGTGGGCTTAATCCTCGGTTTCGGGGCGGGCCAAAGCTCCTCTGTTCCCCAAAGTGGTCAAAGTGTTAAACCCCCTTCTACAAGTATTTTGATATGTGCAAGTGCTCAGGGGTATGGTTTCGTTCACCTTAACACCAAAAAATAGTGGCGTGTAGTTGTGCTAAGGATTGTTGCTGCGGACTTGAGCCGATTGGTGGCAGTCACTACAACCCGGCTCTGGAAATGGCGGTACGCCAGTGGATAGTCTAGCAGTTTCCCGATAATGTGATAGGAGGCACGCTCGGGAACCCGGAAATATGCAGGATATCATAGCGACCTGCTCGGCTTCACAGAGCTTGGTAAATCCGGGAAACCTTGCGGGGTTTCTGAAGTGCAATTTCAGGCCCCCGGGGTAGCTGATACTCTAGCGTACTCGTTCCTCGCAAGGAGTACCCGAACACCGCGATTAGAGAGATACTCGAGTATATGGCCAATAATCCGTACCCGGGCGCGCAAACGAAATTATACTCTCCGTGCTTGGATAGTTCTTGCCAAGGACTAGTACCAGATCGGTCAGCACGATCACCCGCTGAGCACGTGGTGCACCGGCTAGCGTTCGCCGCAGTGTGGGGAAATTCGGCTCCGACACTGCAGCGGATAATGCATTTGGGTCACCCGCTTTTGGAACTAAGCGGATTTGTTCTCTGGATGACAGTTCGACCTTCCGCCATCTCTTTCGGTCTCGGCACATTCCCCGAGCGGCCAAGGTGGTTGGGTTGCCGATTGAGTGATGACCCATGAAGATAACAGCACTGCCAGTCAGCCTTAATCTGCCCCAAGTTCTTGCGGCGCACGCATTCTAGGCCCTGGGCCGAACAACCAAGATAGCGGAGAAGGAGAAGGAGAGCTTTTTCACGGACATTCGCTATCTTGCAATACACTTTATCAGCCGGAGACTGGTGTCAAGAAAGCAAGGGTTACTTTCATTCGTAAATCTCAATCAGTTCCTGGTGGCACAAGAAGCGGCCACCGCAGAACTTGGGACCATGAAAACCTTGCAGGACAAACACATTGAGGATGTTTGCTGCTAGCCACTAATGTTCTACCGGGAGTGGTCATTCCAAGTCAAGTGATCAACTGTCCTTTTATTAATTTCTACAAGCATAGCTACCCAGCTTCTCCCCCCCTTGGTGTTAGATAGAGAGCACAGGGCTGCGATTCGGATATAGGGTAGGTACCTTTGTGGTATATATTGTGGAGGCTTCACTCGGCAGTGAATCCGAAGGAGCCCTGGGGGTATCAAGTCGTACTGTGAAAGCCAATCACGTCAGCTCACTTAAACCCAGAGTACCGTTAGACTAAGTCTGCCTGGTTTCAAGTACTAAGTAAGTAAAAATGGGATAACGATAAACTTGATTGGCCTAATATGGATACATGAATTTTAAAGAGGGGATCATCCTTCTGGCTTTGCGATGTTTGCCCCCTCGGGCCGAGGATAGTCGACCAACGGCGGACGCCCATATCGTGAGGGGAGTTGATAAGAAACAAGGCCTAGGATTTCGGTATCATACCCCGCTGCCCGGATCAGAAATTTATGGGATGCCATGAATTTTGGGGTTTGGGTTAAGATCTTTGCGTCGCTGCTTCTGCACGAACACATGATATCATGTGCGATGCCTAACGTGCCCCCCCCCAAAAAAAAACACCCAGATCAGAAACGTATCAATACTGGGCCGTAATATAAATTCCCTCTAGCAATAGAGAATCAACTGAGAGATGGATTCATTGTTTGGCTCCCAAAAATATCGTGCTCTAGTTGAGTAGATTAAGGAGTTGATTTGTAGGTAATCTTGAACTCCATCCAAAGCTGCTAAGGCAGGATCAAAATCCACTAATGCCAATCCAATATAAGACACTAGTTAACCCTATCTAGGCCAATGCTCATACTAAATCAGGATTAGCGGATCGATGGGTTTTGGATTTTTGCCGAGAATGTCTCTTCTAGGTGTGGCACATCATAACGAGGTTCTGCTGGTGGGCCCCGGATAAGTACCGCTAGGATAATATATTGGGTTAAGGAGGTTCTTCTCCGGAGTGCACATCATTTGGATCTTCACGCCAAGAGAGATATTGGTCCGTGAACAGCCCATGTCCCTCCCAAGTGCCCAAACTGCTTGCTCGAGTACTCGTAGAGGACCCGCAGAGTTAAGAGTGGGATGGATGCAAACTGGAATGATGGGGGGACACTTAGAGAGACCATTTCTTGGCATGCTCTTGGCATTCTTTCTAAAAAATGTTCTCGGTTATGATAGTAATCCTAAATAGAACTAGTCCATGTAATATTACTCGAGTATAGTACTTGTAGTCTATTGTATTATATATTACTGTATCTCTGGCACAATTTAGATACGGACTTAAATATCTATCTATTTATTCAAAATTGCAGATTGGTTCTCTCTTAAATTAGGAACTCGTTCTACTCCACTAGAATACATTATTTTTGCATGAGGTCAACGAATTTTCCCTTCTACAACCAATTCTCCATCGATTCTCCTGGATGTTATAATCCTTTGGTTTCGTTTTGGCTTCGTGGTTGAGACTTTATGCGGTTCTTGTCGAAGCAGTTTTTGATGCGGCCTCTATAAACGTCCCCTACTATAGCTTAGATTAAAATTATACAACGTGCCAGTATTGGAAGGGAAGGTGGGGGGCAGACCGCCAGCCGAATGGTTGAGGATCAGCTTGATGAAGCTAACTATTTTCATTTACTCCCTTTTCTAGAATGTCACACGAGAGCTTCTCTGGGGTCCCGTTTGTACCCGTATTTGAAGGAATTTTTTTTTTTTAAGATCACCACGGTCCAGGGGCTTCTCTGTTCAAGCAATATCCACGCAAAAAAGTGGGTCCTGGTTCTCAAGAACCTTAGAACCCCCGGCCCGAAAGGAGGAGAGAATAGAAATCCGACCTGCCCAGCTCTCCAGTCTATACTCCTAAGGGGATGGCGTTTCTCTCTTTGTTAACTCGCAAGTACAGTAAGATATGCTTTCAGATGGCAAACCTGGGCTTCAGAATGGCTCCACTTATAATATCTCTGCACGAAGTTAATTGAGCTTTTAGTTCTCACGATAAAAAATTTTCTACAACTACCATTCATCCCTGCCCGATCCATGCCGTTCCTCTAGCAACATACGGCACTGTTCATTGCCGAGCAGAGCCTCGCTGATAGATTCCATTCACATCTAGACAGCAAGGGTTAATCTAAGGGTAGCCCTAAGAGTACTTAATTGACATCAAAAGCATGCTCTTAGGACTTCAAGGTTCCCATGGGAAACCATACCGGTATTGCACTGAGTTGTACTAGTGCATAGCAACTTTTGCTCCAATGCCGTATCCACTCAGACAATCCACTACCGTACTCGAGTACCGGTATCTCCGTCAGGCCTCTAATCTCCGCCATCAGAGACAAAACACCCCAAGGAGGAATAGCGTTTACTTGACGTGGTATGGCCCGGGCAAGTCGAAACTCGTGGATCCCATCAACCGGTATTCGCAATTTCGTCAACTTGTTCAGCTAAGCCCGCGGTAATTTAGCCCTGTTGCTTATCGATAGTGGATTGCCTGAGCAAATGCGGGATCCTCATAAACTAGCAACCCCTCAAATTCGAGGTGTCATTAACCCCACCAACTGGTAGTTTCCGCATAGCATGCTATCTTGAAAGCTGTCGAGAAGATCCAGGCCGAATGGAAATGGGAAGAACCTATTTGGGTAATCGGGAGTAAATCTACACGGAATTTATCGTTTTCATCACAGCCATACTGAGCAGTACATACCTAGCGGTGTTCTGAGCACTGCACCTTTTTTGTACAACAAGGCTCTTCCTATCACGATTACTCAAATAGGCTGGTGCTACATATTCCAATTCGAACCGGAATGCCTTGATAGCTTAAAGGATACCGGTAGCTTGATTCGAGTGGCCTACCAAAGTCATGAGTGCGGGAAGGAAGGTATGGGGGAATTGCCTGGGACCTGTTACGGTGGTAGGCGATGAACTCGAGGGGCACAGCAAACAACCCTACCGTACCAATTTTCATGCATGCCTCTACATTTTTGGTGTTTTTTTCCCCTCTGCCTTATTCGCTGCCCCCCCGCCTACCACCGGTATGTTAGTAAGTTAAGAACATCCGACGAGGAAACAATTTGCTGTGGTGGGGACACTTACAATGTACTCGTATACGAAAAGAGAGGCGATCCCTGGCAGATTCTTGTCATTGTTGCACGAGTAAAAGCTCCGGCCTTACTTACATCAAGCACTGTAAGAAAGTAACATTTCTGTATAATAATAGTATGTAATAATGACTGCATTTATTACTCTTGAGCCATTTCGGTCTGGCCTTTACAAATCTGTGCGGGTGCCTGGGGAAGTATTTTAGCACAAGACAGGGATTATTTCCCTGGTTAACATAAATTAATGGTTCACCAACTTTCTGCCGTGTTCAAGGTGAGGGGACGATTAACCGGAACAGACAGGGGTATCATATATTTAGTTAGAAAATCCTGAAATGACTGTTACCTAACCTCTCGCCAGACCTCGTACCTGTACGTGTTCAGAATTGGCCATCCCTATACAAATTGAGATTCTATAACCTTTTGGTCTTGTTGTTGGAACCTGATACGATTTTTGTTGTGGTCGTTTTTGTTACGGCTTCTCCGAGCGCCCCCCCCCACCATCCCTAGTGCTCAATCATATTGCACTGAAGATACACCATGACGCTCAAGATCGCTTATCGCTGTCTTACAAAAGGCCTTTTGTTTTTTTCATCAGCATCGTGCTTATGAGGACCGCAATTCTCCGACGATGTTGAGAACGTTTTTGGCTAAAGAAGTACAGAGCAGTTTGCGGGGCTATGGTAAATGGCGGTGGATTGATACAAGGCCTAAACTATGTTCTACGAAACGAGCTAGTTTTTATGCCCGGCGATCATTGGCTTTACCCGATTTGCTCTCAGGATCGAATGAAATGCTGAGAAGTAGGTCAACCTGAATGGCCAAAAAACATTACTATGTTTCTGATGGTTAACAAGCGACTTTATGGACGGATGCACCGGAGTACGCATCTCTCGGGATCGCGATGTGTGAGTCTATCGCTCGCCCTATCGGGGGGGTGGGGTGGGGTAGAGATTATGAAAGTGATGATTGATGTCGGGTTTTTGAAGCTTGCCGCGCTAACATTAATGAATGAAGTTTTGGATTGGAGCTTCGCCACTGGAGGATGCCGCCCCTGCTGAACAGAATCCCCCAGCTGACCGAAACTATCCACACTCACTTATGGCTTTTTCTCATCCTCGAGGAGCACAAGTGGATTTGCTATGCTCCCGGTTTTGGTCCGCTGCAGGATAGATAAAGGCTGCTACTGCAGATATCATACAGCAAAGTGCGATTCTTAAGTTGGATACGGGACAAAGAGATCGAATCCCTTATTTTGTTTGATATCATATCATACAAACCTTTTTTGCCAAAACCGGGACATTCCTGATAGTAGGTGTCATAGTGGGATGCGTTGTATATACATCCCGGTATGAAACAAGTCGTGTTTTTTTTGTGATCATACAGTATGTTCGGTACTCGTGCAATTCACTATCGATAAGAAACGGGGCTAAACTATGATAAGCTTAGATGAGTGAGTTAAGATAATTGCGAACCGGTTAATGGGATCCACAAGTTTCAGCTTGCTGAAGCCCTACCACATCAGGCGAACATTATTCCTTCCTAATGACCGTAAATAGTGGATTGTCCGGGATAAAACGGTTTTGCGGAGTTCCCGGAGCTCCCCCATCTACAAGTACATAGCAGCTTTCATCGGGTTACGACATCGTGGGGCTGAGCTTTCGATGTATCATCGTGAGAGCGGATGCGTTTGCTTTGAATAGAAGGAAGAAGGAGAAGAGGGGACGGACGAGTCAAGAAGATACCGTAGTGGGACATTGCCGATTGGTTACACACCAAAACAGGGAGTTTTTACACATTAGAGGAATTCAGCCCCGGATTTGAAAAATGTTTATGCAAGTTTTTGGGGTTGAAGGACTCCGGAGTGCGCAACACCTTTTTTTGCATACCGGTACAAATCTGTCGAAACTTGATACTCGAAAAACACTTGTTCGACCTCGGGGCTGAATGCCTCTATTGATACCAACCCAGAGTTCGGCATTGTGGTGAAAAGGATTTCGTATACTGGTCTCATTGCTTCCCCACTTTACTTCTCCGTGCTTTTGGAGTATTATTTCAGCTCTATCAGTTATGTCAGGTGGCCCTGCGACTCCAAAAATTTTCTGGCCGTCACCCCCAAAAATACCTGTCTGGCATGCTGTGTGAAGGTAGTTTTGAACCCAGAAGTTTTAGACAATGGCACATCTCACAAGATCTCTCTAAAATCCAAATCCATGTAGTCAATTCCCAGACAGAACTGACGCTATCTGTGTCATATCTTGAATTTTAAGTATTTTTAGGGGCTTGACGACTATCCCTGCTATGTGATGGGGAATACCTTCGTCCCACTATTCGCTTCACTCATGCGGGGAGAGTCATATGGAATTCCTCAAGCGCTCGGGAGAGTACAATATCGTACTCGAGTACGGTAATCTCTTGTAGGAAGTACTCGGGGGTTACAAAAGTCGGGCCCACCTCCATCAGGATGTGTGGCATCCATATGCAGACTAAACCGGATTAGGAAGTTCGAGTGATAAACGGTGCGTATTTTTGGTGACGTCGAAAAGTCGGGACCACTTCTAAAAGGAGCGGGAAAGTGGCGATTACTGGAACAACACACAGGTTGAGGACTTGTGGTACCGGGACTCTAAATACATATCCTTACTCCCGAGTCAGGTACTGTACTGTACTGTACATACAATATTCGTATGATATGATTAGCACAGCCCAATCGCTATCCTCTCCTTTTTTTTTTTTTTTTTTTTTTTTTTCGAGCGCTGCCCGCTCGGTTTAGGTAGGGTAAGCAATTTGGGGCTTATGATACCACTGTGCATAGCAAGGAATTTTTAGTAAATTTGAAAAAAGAATGGCTACGGCAGTTGAGGTTTGCTTGATATCATACTATGCGGATGCAGTAGAGAGGTACTTGTAGATAACTAAATATTTATTCTAACCTGTTCAACCATCATCATTTGTCGAAATTGGAAGATACAGTCGAGCAGTTACTAAAGCGGCTGAGTTGCCGAGCAATTCCATGCACCTGTCCTGGTAGGGTTCTTTATGCTCCATTTGGGCTGAAGAGGTTACTCTCGGTCTTGCCGGGGTTTTCCGTGAATTTCTAACCACAAATACGATACTGTACTGTACTCGTGGAGTATGGGGTACGGTACGGTGCTGAGATAAACGGTCCTATGATAGGTAGAATCTTGGGGCCGTAGGGCGGCGGAAACCATCTGGCTGGTCGATGAAGACTGTATCACCAATTCTGTGCTGTGGTATCATATCATCATTTTACAGATGCCATCTCTCCCTCCGTGGTTGCATGGTTCCTTTGGGGAAAATTTTTTCTTTTTCTTTTTTTTTTTTCGTTTTTTTCACTTTTCGTTAGGGTGGTTTGTACAGTACCGTAACTGTACTGCACAGTCAGGAGGACTTTGGTCTCAACACACATGTCCCCTTCTACCGGTATTTCTTCCATTCGCCTTCTTTCTATCTCTCCTTCCTTCTCGCAGCCGAGACCATCATCTGTTACTCATCTTTTTCCCTTATTCCAGCTGATATACCGGTGCTCACTTTATCGATACGGTAGGTGACCTTGTACTCCTATCACTACTTCCAACCCCACCGCGCTTTCGCCTGGATTCTGGTGAGGTCTGTTTGCCCCTTTGGTTTTATTTGATTTTCCGTGGTGTGCGGGGTGATCAGTTCATTAAAGTTTGCTTGTGGGTGTTTGGAAATATTTTTTTTCCTTTTTCCTATCTACGGCATTCCTACGACCACTCCTACGACCACTTGGACCAAAGAAGACTAACGAGCCCGGGTACAAACCCGCATAGAAGAGAGGGTTTTTTTTCTAACAGAGTGGTAGTCGATTTCGAACTCATATAAACCTCTTGATCTGCCTCTCTCTTCTTGAAAGGAACACACCTTTTATTTTTTCATTCGACAAACCAATCCACCGCAAACATGACTCCTAAAGCTGACGAGGTTGAAGACTCTCGCGGTACGTTTTCTTTATTTTACAAGTCCCCGGAATCTTTTTCTCCAATCAGCCATGTCGAAAGGATAGAGCGAAGGAAAGCGAAGATCCAAGAAAAACGAGAGCTGATGAAGTACGGATCAAAAGTTCTCGGACAGGATCCTTTGATCCCTCCCAGTCTTTTGCAGCATGAGATTCCTTCTGTATTTCTCCCCCTCCACCTGGGTTGTCTGGGTTTTTCGATCTTGAGGTAATGAGTCATACTGACTGTGGGGCTGAAGACACCCGAGTCTGAAGCTACTGTTCTCAAAGGTCGTCGTGATTCTATTGCGGTGCTTGATGGAGTTTCCGACAAGCTTCTCGTCGTCGTTGGGCCATGCTCAATCCATGATCCCGAGATGGCGATAGAATATGCCAGGCGCTTGAAGGCCATTTCAGCAGAGCTCCAAGGCGACCTGGTTATTGTTATGCGAGCTTATCTCGAGAAGCCAAGAACCACTGTTGGATGGAAGGGATTGATCAATGACCCGGACATTGACGAGAGCTTCCAGATCAATAAGGGATTGAGAGTTAGCAGGAGTTTGTTCGTCGAGCTCACACACATGGGAGTCCCTATTGCATCTGAAATGTTGGATACTGTTTCCCCACAGGTAATTTTCTTCCTACCGAGTAAACGAGCGGTTAGTTAACAAAAGCAGTTCCTTGCGGATCTTCTCTCCCTCGCAGCAATCGGCGCCCGCACCACTGAATCACAGCTCCACCGTGAGCTCGCATCGGGTGTTTCCTTCCCCGTCGGCTTCAAGAACGGTACCGACGGCTCGCTCAGCGTTGCTATCGATGCTGTCCTCTCTGCCTCTCACCCCCACCACTTCATGGGCGTGACTAAGCAAGGCCTTGCCGCAATCACCCGCACTACTGGAAATGAGCACGGTTTCGTTATTCTTCGCGGAGGTTCTAGGGGCCCCAACTACAGCTCCGAGGATGTGCAAACCACAAAGGCTGCCTTGAGGAAGAAGGGACAAAAGGAAGTCATGATGATTGATTGTAGTCACGGAAACAGCTCCAAGAACCACAGGGTATGTTTTTTACGCTTCCACGGAGCTACCCCCCTTCTAACAATGCACTATAGAACCAACCTATTGTTGCCGCGGACATCGCCGCACAGATAAGCAACGGCGAGGAGGCCATTGTTGGTGTAATGATTGAGTCAAACATCAACGAGGGCCGCCAGGACGTCCCCTCACCCGAGCAGGGCGGCGCGGCAGCCCTCAAGAAGGGTGTTTCCATCACCGATGCGTGTATCAACTGGGAATCCACGGTTGACGTATTGAACAATCTCGCCGCAGCCGTCAGAACCAGACGGGCTGGAAGAGAGGGTGGAGTCAAGAGAAAGGCTGAAGACGCCTTGTAAAAAGTTTTCGTTTAGAAGGCAGGCAAACGGGATATATGGTAGAACGTGGCAATGGGGAGTTTTAGTTTTAGTTTTTCTCTTTGTCACTTCTCTTCACTCTTTCCTCTTATTTTTTCCGTTGGCTATTTTGCTAGTAGTGCTTGTTGGATATGGCTCGAAATGAAATAAGTTTTAGTTGTAGTACTGCATTAAATTAACTCTTGCGATTCGCTATCTCCGTCACATCACGAATACCCTGTAAATAGTGACATCAGCCTAAGATGGGTTTAACTTGGTGAGTTGATGGAATTGCGAAAACCAGTTAATGAGATCCAATACCAGTAGCCAAATGACACGAGCTGGCCATACTGTGTCAGTAAAGGACTAATCCTTCTTAAGAACTTTTTGTCTCTGAGCACCAAGGTTAGAAACCTACTCGAGTAATGGAGTGAGAGAATCGCAAGGGTCAATGCAGTAGTCTACATGGTGAGCCGCTCGAGATTTTTGTTTCAATACTGGCTGGGCACGAAGGTGTTGGGGGCGTGATGTAAGTTATGCAGGGACCTTGGTGACAGGCGGGAAAATATTGTTCCGATCTTCGTGCAAAGGAGCAATCACTTCAAAAATTCCCCTTGGAAGCACGATAAGCACCAATCGGGATCTGGAGAGGTGCAGCTGCATTTGTAAAGTTCTCACATCATACCCTTCCAAGCATACCCAGCCCTCGGGAACGCCTTGCTAGCCCTCTCTTTCCCATTATTATTCAGCGAAACGAATTGTGATAATAGTTTACGATATACCTGGAGGAATATCTGAGGGGGATTACCTAAAAGGCTCTTGCCGTTTCCTTGCCATTAATGGGTAGAGAGTTCTTGTAGTGCGGGGAAGGGTATGGGGAACTTTACGGATGCCGCTGTACTCTCCACCCATAATAGCGTGTTTCCAGAACGTTGAGGAGCGAAAAGGCATGGAGGATACCGGTGGGTGGAATGCAAGGGTGTACAGTATTCGCACAATGTTTAATTCAACCTGTGGATGACCATGAAGGAGAAGTGTTCCCACTTGGGAAATGGTATTCGCTATCTATAGGTGTCACATATGGCACCGCAGGCGTACTGTGCTCGTAGCTGCTATGATAAATAAAACGGGATTTTCCGAAGGGGTTCATCTGTTCTACACTTTCATCTGGGAGGGATGCATAGTTACAACCGCAAGGCAATCAATCAGTGTTTATCCCAGTAAAGCATTCAATGCAGCAGCCCTTATTATAATCCTCCTCCCCCTTTCAATATATTTCGCCCCCCCCCCCAGCATGCCTCCCCTTGGAACCGGTGCCATCCACCTCTAAGTGCAATCACATCTTTGCGTGGGCGGTAAAAAGCAGATGCAGATGTGGGATATCTCTTTCGGTGGTGCTGCAAAGGAACTGGCTAGGGGTGAAAGGTAAGGTATCATCATCGGGCATCGCTTGGGGAGAGTTGTCACAAGCAGTTGTGTTTGTACGAGGCCAGGAAATTTTGAGCTATATCTCGGCGGTCTGGTGGGGTTGGAGAAACAGTGTGAGCTTGGGCTTTTGGGGGGGGAGGGCCACGCGTTGTTACGCTCTCGTGTAACTGGTGTTGATGCTGGGCTTTACCTTCACGCTTGACCGCAAATCCCCCCACGAAGATTGACATGAAGCAGTGAACGGATGAATGGATGAGTGGATGGATGAATGGATGAATGAGTGAATGGTTGTCGTGAATCCCCAGGACCCCGTGGGGGCAGGCACTCGAGTACTGCAACCTCCCGGCGTTAAAAACTCCCCATCTCCCAGAAAAAAAACCCCGCAACGCCAAGGTGGCACAAGCCCTCCCTTATCATCTCTTGCTTACCTAATAATCACTCGATCTAAGATAAGGTTTAAAGCCCTACATATGCCAGTCCTATCACCGCAAGCCCCCCCCATCGCACTCACTGAAGCAAGTCAGCGCCCATACGCAAATTCTTTCTCAAAATTCGGCAACGCCAGACAGTCCCACCCACACGACATTCTTTTGACGACTGACGGGCGACGGGCAACATACTAACCGACAGCAACCGCAATGGCGATCAAACACAACAATGTACGGATTTATTGCCCCCTCTGTCTCGTGAAATTGGAAGTGTATGCTAATTTTTGTGGGCCGGCACTTCGTAGCAAATTCCCAACAACCATTTCCGCAAGCAATGGCAGACTCGCGTGCGGACTCATTTTGACCAGGTTAGTCGATCTTACGGATGTTTCCTCTGATTACTACATTTGAAAGGTAGAGATGGGTATAGGGATTATTGGTGGGTGGGGATGATTGGAGAGGGTTAGGTGGATGGATGGGAGGATTAGATGGATGGATATTTTGGAAGGAGGGTGAACTGAAGCTAATGGATTGGGTTTCGACATTCATAGCCTGGGCGCAAACATCGTCGCCGTAATGCTCGTTTGGCCAAGGTTGCTGCGGTAGCTCCTAGACCCATCGACCTCCTTCGTCCCGTTGTTAGATGCCCGACTATCAGATACAATCGCCGTGTTCGTGCTGGTCGTGGATTCACACTCGAGGAGCTTAAAGTCTGTCTTTCTCCCATATCGCAATCTCCGGAATCAGACTAACACGGAGACTGTGCACAGGAGGCCAAGATCCCCCGTAAATTCGCCTTGAGCATTGGAATTCCCGTCGACCACCGCAGACAAAACACCTCGGTCGAGTCCCTCCAAGCCAACGTTGCCCGACTCAACGAGTACAGATCCAAACTCATCCTCTTCCCCCGCCGTGCTAATAGGCCCAAGTCCGGTGATGCCTCCAAGGAAGACGTTACAACTGCCACACAGACTCGTAATGTCGCTGCTGTCTTCCCGATTAACCCTAACCCTGGAAGGACTGAATTCGCCGAACGCACTATTACCGATGCTGAGAGGGAGAGGAACGTGTTCAGGGAATTGCGCGTTGCCCGAGCGGACGCTAGAAACGCTGGTGTTAGGGAAAAGAGACAGAAGGCCAAGGAAGATGAGGCAGCAGCTAAGAAGAAATAAATATTTTCTTCCTTTCTTGTTGGTAGCCGGGTGCCGAAAATGGTTGTTTTGTCTTATGTTTGGTTGGGATTTTCTTGTTCTCTCGGGGTTTTTTCTTCCCTCTTTCTTTTGGCAGCCTGTTCTTCCCTGCTTCCAAAATAAAAGGACTCCATTGTTTCTCCATGGGGAATACATTGGGATTTAAAAAATGATTTATTCTGGGAGATTTCCTTTTTCGAAACGTGCTATGATATTGTATTAAATCTCGTATTGGGGGTGGGAGAGTGTGTTTGTTTCTTGGGATACTAGTAACAGATACCACAACTAGATGCCCGATATCTAGATGGATGAGGAGCGGTGCAGTTGAATACCGGCGCTTCCTCTGCGAGGTATGATATTATGTTATACCGATGCTGTCCATCTGCCGATTGACATGTCAATTGTCAAATATATTCATACATGTACTTTGCTAGAACAGACGCCTTGTAGATCCCGGACCGATACCATTCCCGAAACTCCTAAGTTACTCAATCCAATTGTCTTCGATACTCTACATGGTGGACACCAGCACACCTTTGCCTGATACTATAGAAGAGCAATTATTTTTATGAAACACTGGTCCCTCCAGCGCCAATTTCCAAACTCCCACGAGCTGCTATTAGAAGCATATCATACTTACCATAAGTTACCTGCCCACCTATCAGTCCTACAATTATCATACATAGTACGTGCGGAACCCCCCTCCACACGGTGGAGACCCTCTAACATATCTTGCCACCCCATACTCCCTAACTACTCATCCTCGACCTCTCCCTCTAGCATCAATACAAATGCCGTACTGTACAGTGAATTCGCAAAAACTTCCAATGGCACCTTACCACCTATGATATAAACCAACCAAACCACCCGGGCTTTCCCCACGAAAGTGGGAGGGGAAAGGAGAAGAACTAGATATTACCCATCCGGGAATGCGGATCACCCCTTGCACCCAATTTTAATTTCTTTCATTGTCAGTAGAAATAGTTCTATCGGACATGCCGAGGGATGTGTTTTTTTTTTTTTTTTTTTTTTTTAATCGTGTGGATTGGCAGGACATATTCTCGATTCAGTACGATATGATACTGCCCGTCCTACATAATCTTGGGTCAGATCCTATGCACGCTACAGGGAAAAGGAGTAGTGGATTATATTATATCGTACACATGATATATTCTCCCAGTGACTTGGCCTGAGCAGAGGAGAAATGACACAAAAAGGGTACTGCAGTGTAGAATGCATACTGCGATTCTTTCCACAAATTTTTTTTTTTTTTTTGCAAAGTATCATTCATAGGCACTCAGCGTAAACCATTTTTCAAAAAGCGAAAGAAAAAAAAAAAAGAAAAAAAAGAATGGATTTTCGCTATATCGTGATTACCATACCCTCGTTATCGGTGGGCGGTATCATACAGTATACGAGTAAGTGCACATATCGCTGAGGAAAAAAAAAAAAAAAAAACACCGCGCCACGATATACTCGGAAGAGTATAGTACCGTAACACGCCGGCGAGAGCGGATGACACATCTCCTCTCCGCAGATCTATATATAAGTCCTCGCTATATACGGTACAGTACTAATACAGCGCAGTAGGTGTTACCCAGCGTTCGCTTTTTCTTTTTCTTATCTTTCTTTTTTTCTTCTTTCACTCATATCGCATTGGGTATGATAAAACTCTGGCCAACAGCGGTTATCGGTTCGTTGCGAGTGATGAGTTGTGATCGATTGTCCGTATGTGTGATGATACCCGATCCGGCTTCGGACGCACTACCGGTGGCCTATCTGTCGTACCTACGGGGGACTTGTCGGGTTAACGCGGACTGACTGACCACAGTTGTAATCTGGATGTGGTGGATTTCGAGGGTTTACGGTATGATACTGCCGCACCGTGACATACGAGGAAGGTGTTTGGGGGCTTGAAATGTGGCTTTGACTATGATGCTGCTGTGGTATGGCGCTAGGCGGGGTGGGTACTATACGTACTGGGCGTCGGGTGTTGGCACTGAAGTATACTATCCCGCTGGAAAGGACCAAGTAGGTCTGTGTAAGTAGGCGCCATAGGCAAGCATTCTCAATTCCGAAACAGGATGCCCGGGAATTTTCTAGGCCGCCGGTAGCACTGAGCTCGAGTGCGGATACGATGGTGCTCTTTTCAATATCATCCTAGCTTGTTTGTGACAATCGA